GAGAGAGAGAGAGAGAGAGAGAGAGAGAGAGAGAGAGAGAGAGAGAGAGAGAGAGAGAGAGAGAGAGAGAGAGAGAGTGCGGCGTGCGCACTCTCCTTGGATCTTGTTACGAGTGTGTGTGTGTTCACTCTTGAGGGCAGAACTTGATAACATTGCGAGTCCCTGGGCTCGGGAGCCTGTGCGCTCGCGCTCTCCTTAGAACTTGTTACGAGTGGGTGTGTTCATTCTTGAAGGCAGAGCTAGATAACATTGTTGAGTTCCTGTGACTGGGAGTCTGTGCGGTCGCTCTCTCCTTGGATCTCGATACGAGTGTGTGTGTGCATTCTTGAGGGCTGAGCTCGATAACTTTGTGAGTGCTTGCGCTTCGGCGCCTGTGCGTTCGCACTCTCCTTGGATCTCGATTCCCGTGTGTGTTCAATTTTGCTGACTGAGCTTGACAACATTGTGAGTTCCTTCTCGCAGGTCGTAGGTCTCTGTGCTCGAGAGCTTACGTGTTCTCGCTCTCTCCGGTTCTTGATACTAGAGTGTGTCCCTTCTCGCGGTCGGGCTTGACAATATTGTGAGTTCCTTCTGGCAAGTTGTAGGTCGCTGTTGAGCTTGATGACTTGGTATGTTCGTTCTTGCGTTCACCGCCCCCGAGCTTGGACGCACCGTGAAGATAGCTTTGAGCTTCGTGACCTCGTCCACTCGCTTTGGCAAGTCCTGGACCACTCTTGAGTTGGGTCGCGGCGTGCCCTCGCAGTTACGGGTTCGGGCTAGGTGCAACGGCGAATTCTGATCTGCGAACCCGTGTCCATCGGAGGAGGGATCGAGCCCTGGAGGGTCCGGGCCTCGGCAGTGCTCCTGCGCCGGAAGCCTCGAGAATTTGTGGTCCTGACCCCCTCGGGGTCGGTCTGGTTTCTGAGCCATGAGAGCTTCGCCTGTCTCGAGCCGCGAGGTCGAGCTTGCTTGTGCCTCGAAAAAGAGCTCGGGTGGGCGGCGAACTGGGCCGGCCTCAGCATTTCTCCCGTTTGAACGCAGCATGGTTGAGCCCCAATAGGGTTCTGAGCCTGATTCCCTTTCCGGAAAAGGGCCATTGTCGAACCCGCTGGTCTTCGGAGGGCCTCAGAGCGGGCACCATTCGCGGGTGCTGTGGGCGGCGGACAAGCCAAGGGTTTAGGGGCAAGGCCACTCCAAAAATTTTGGCGCCGTAGAGATCTTCCTAAAGCCCTCGGGGTGGGGTCGTGTACCCTCGGGTGGTTTCGAGGGAGGAGGAGAAAGGCTGGGGGAGGGGGTACTCACAAGGGCAGCTAGGGGTGGAACTCTGTCGGTGATGGTGACTTGCTCAGGGCGGCGCGGTCGGGCCCCCGAACTGCGGGAATAAACCAGCAGGTTCCACGAGTCGCTGATGACCGGGGAACAGGCCCACAACGGTCTTGGGCTAGGTGCACTGGTCGCAGGGCCAAAACAGGGGGGTGCCGAGCGTCCTCGACCCTCACGGTTTGATTACGCCAACAGCAAGGGCCGCTTCTCGGGGGGAAACCGGGGCATTACCTACTTGGGTGCCAAGGGGGGTGCCAAGCGTTCTCGACCCTCACGGGTTGATCGTGCCGAAGCCCCGCCCTCCGGTGAGGGGCGATCGAGAGGGGGTTCGGATATCGGTTCTTGATCCACACGGGTTGTGGTCGGGTCCCGCCCGAGGCGCCACTTCCGGAAGGGAGCCGGGTCCTCTAGCGAGGGTCGAACGACACACACGGTTGAGAAGGGAGGTTCTTAGGCTGTCGGGTCCTAGAGAGAGGGGGGATTCCGCCGCTTTTGAGGAAGAGAGGGGGTTACCTCAGGGAGAGGGGTCGAGAGATACTTGGGGATCCTTGGGCGAGGAATCGGAGGCCGAGTCTTGGGCAAACCGGTGCCTTGCCGATTTCTCGGACTCGGATTTGGGGGATTATTGGGACTATGATAACGAATATTGAAGAACTCCGCGAGCCTTGAGGTACGAGCCTTTCGACTACCCAACCTGAGTGTCCCCCTTCTTTCTTTGCTTTCCTACCCCATTTTTCTTGAAAAACCCCGATATAAATCCGTGATTCCAAGAGAGAAGAGAGAAAGTCGGAGGCGAAAAAGGACGAAGGGAACGGAGTGCGAAGGGTTCACGATATGGAGGAGGGGTGGGATTAGACAGGCTAGTGATCATTGATTAATAGGTGGATGTGAGTCCCGGGGCCCGGGTAATTCCACGCTCGAGGTGGGCCGAGTAGGGGCGTGGTGCCGGGTAGGCTAACTTAGGATTTAGAATCGGTTCGGTGGGAGACATAGGGCCCGAGTGTGTGGCTTCGGTCCGACTCTGGGGGAGGGGTTGCCACCCTTCCTCGGGGATAACTCGGGTTCGCGGCTAGTCCCTATACCTGGAAGTGGGAGGACCTCTCGGCGGGGGAGGACAGGAAGGCAGCCAAGTGAGGTGGCGATCCTTCTCTGGTCCATTTGATCCTGCCGGGCTCACAGGCCCCTTCTTCTTGCAGGGTAGGGGTGGTCTCTTGTGTGATGAAAATTAGGAGGGTGAATTTTCCTTTGATTATCTGATAACTTAGAAAAATCAAAATTGAAAAAAGGGGATGAGCTTAGAAATTCTCGAGTACGAGCCTTCAGGGATTAGTGTGGGTGACGCCGGAGGGGTCGACGTATGGTGCTTTAACTTCTACCTATGGACGGAAGACTTTGACATAGCCCTTTGTGTAGAGGAGGGGACCGAACGAGGGGAGTCGTTCTTAGATAGCTTGGAAGAAGCGGTAGGGCACGCACAATTGGAGAGAGAGCTATTGGGTCAGTACGAGATTAGGTACTTCTTTACCTTGGGGTGTCGGGTGTTCCGAAGGGGCGAGCGGCCTGCGCCGATCATACCCGAGGCTTACCTAGACGGGTAAGACGGCTGGAGAGTACTAGTGAAGATC